AGAGAGAGAGACCGCGCTGGTGGCCAGTTTCGGGGCAACACGCGGTGACGACGGGCGACCACATGCTTGACACATCCACCCAGGCCCCCTCGTTATTGAATGACGCAGAGAAAAATAACCTCCCAATTTAGAGCAAGACGAACACCCACACCGCTATTTTAATCAAATCCCGTCTGAGTAGGGAAAACAAGCAGCTTAGTGTAATGTAACGTTAGCTCTGTGATGTAACGCTAATGTAATCAAACGACGTCCCAACATCAATGCGGGAGCTATAAAATGCGTGCGCACCGATAGGGAAAAAAGGGGATCAAGCCCGCGTAATGTTGGCATCAAAGTGTGAGCTGACACACAGCGTTAGCGAACAGACAGACTCGTTGAAATGATATTAAAGCCCTTTTCGTACAATGAGTAAGAGGACAGCAGGAGACGGCTGAATATTTGTACAATTTCTCCCATGGACGAGCTACAGTTAGCTAGCTATAAACGGGTTGCTGTCAAGACGGCTTTAAAACATTAGCTAAACCTTTGCCCTGGTGCTCTCCGTAACAAGTAAGGTCAAAATGTTGATTTCCTTTAATTTCCTCGGTGAAGAATGAATGACTCAGCTTGGAAGTGCCACAGTTAAAGGGGGAGGTGGCCATTTTTGAGTGACTGTGTTAGCTAGCTTACTGGTAGTAGGCTCCGGTGTCACACTTTGGCTTCATACCTAGCTAACGTTAAGTTAGCTAACTGAGGATGGACGATGGTGACGGGAGGAAACTGCCTCTGCGAAACAACATGTGTCTGCATTTAGTTGTGTAGCTCACATGTCAAGAATGAATTGAGGGAATGAAGCCGAGCATGTGGCCTGGCGATTCGCATTTCCCTGTGCTGCCGAGGACCGACGCGACACCTCAGACATTGAAATGACACAAACCTTGGGATGGTACGGAGGTCCCCGGTTCCTTTGGTCTCATCCTGCCGGGAGAACCACACCTCCAACAGCTTCTCGGTCCCCTCGAAGAAATGTGCACCGTTATCTTCCATCATGAGACAACAGACACCCAACAAAAAATATTAACCGTCGGTTGAAACGTTAACAGCTTAATAAATCCCTCCTCGATCAGTTATAATTTATTGAGGTACAGTCCTTTAAGCAATCCAGGTGTTGATTTTCTTGAGTTACCGTCTTCCCTTTTGCAGAGAATACCGTTAGCGAGTGCTAGCTAATATCGCCGGCCATACTGTGTAAAGCACTGAATGGAGACGGCGCGGCGGCTTTATATGCGAGCCGCCCCACGTCACTCCCGCGTACAGCCAGTCTGGTCGCAGAGCTGTGGTTGTGATCCGCGGTTGGTTCGAGGACCTGTCAGTCACTGTGAAACCAGGGGTTTCCTCACGTGACGTTTTAGCGTTTACAGCCTTCACGTAGCGTGTCATGGCTCTGTACACAAATATTACAATACAGTAGCCTAAATTACAATTCAGAGGAGTGTTATAATAATAGGACAGTACGTGGAGTTTATTTAAGTCCCTATTTGAAAATGTGGAATTATAGATCTATATATCACATAAATATTATATCTTACTCCAGTATGCTTTAAGGCAAATTTCCATGTAAACTAAGTGTGCTTCTCTCACATATATTTCTGTATATCTGTATATTTTATTCCTGCCACATACCACTGCACGACCATAATGCATTCATATATTGTTTGTACTCCATGTTGACATAAACAAATACACAATTTTGATTCTGAATTATACATATAAATAATATTATAACACAGAATAGAAATGTAGGTTATATAATGAGCCAGTTTGGCCATATTATGATTGCATTTTATCAGCATTAAACGGTATAGTACCGGTGTAAGTGGTATTATAGTACTGGTATCATTGTAGGTCTAGTCTATATGTAACTTCATTTAACAAAAAAAATTAGAAAATGACATGGCAAGCATTTGTGTTATCATGCTTTTGGAAACTGCCATTAATAATAAAAAATAAAAATAAATCAATAAATGCGCAAAGGGGGCGGTAGTGTTGTTTATACACATTATCTGACAATAAAAGACAACAGTATTTTTAGATTTTTTAGAGAAATCTTAATCTATATTTTTGTGTAAAGATCTAACGTATTTGTTGTGTTACTATGATAATAATTGGTATGTATGCAATAAAAATGAACGTCATTAACAGTTCAGGGATCATAAAAAAATATTTCTAAATATGTATACAAGTGTTTTCATTGAACGAACAGCCCTGCTTGTGCACCATGAAATCGAAACCACCGATAACTGCATTTCTGAAGAGCGTTTATGAGTACGCAAAGTGCAACAAACCGCAGCGAAAAACGCGGGTTGTAGTTTCCTACATAACCCCTCACGAGCTGGCGTAACCGCGGCGCCTGCTCAGAAGCACTACATTACCCAGCGAGCCCCGCGCGCCAATTAGAAACGTCAACGAGCCAGTGAACATTAAGCGGAGCAGACCAAAATCCCAAACAAGGAAATGGTGGGGGAATAAAACGACCAGATTATTTAATTAATGCATGTAATAATTAATATTTTATTTTATTGTAAATTAAGACGTATTTATGGGTTAAAATGGATTACGACTTCAAAACAAAGCTGGCGGCCGAGAGAGAGAGAGTAGAAGATCTGTTCGAATATGAAGGTTGCAAAGTGGGTCGAGGCACCTACGGGCACGTTTATAAAGCTAAACGCAAAGACGGGTAAGATAACCGTGAACGTTATTGTTTGTACTGACATAAAACTGACTGCGGGATGCATTTTGTGAACACACAGCCCAGTTGTGTGCTGAACGGGGCGTTAGATTTGAACCTCCCCGAAGCGATAACCCGTGTCTCTATGTTTTTGTTTTCATGTAACGCACTCACTCACTCACCAACGGTCCCCCCCCCCCCCCCCCGCTCCCTTCTCTCCTCACCCTCCACCTCCCCAACAACACAGTAAAGCGGGGCTGTGCTAATGTCATTTTTTTTCTTTTTGACAAGTCTTGTCTTTACGTTATGAACGGAGACAGCTCGCTCTCAATGTATTTAAACGCACCGGACGACGTTGGTGTCGTCACTCAGCGCGGTAGTGACATTTCAGCGTCTTTTCGCGGCCAAGCTGTTCCCCCATTTTTAACACTGTGCGCTGCCAAACTTTTTTTTAAACTCACAGTTGAATGCAGTGTGTTTGCCACTGCTCTTTACTCTTCTACTGTCAAGCGTGTGACAGTAATGCAGGTGTGAATACAATGTGTGTAAGATGGACATGTATGCTCTCACATTTCTATTCTACTATGCTAGCAGTGTCAGTATGTGTGGCTAGATTTGGCACATTCCCAGTTCACACTAATGCCTGACAATAGGACTTTATCTCAATAATGAAGTATTTTTATAATTATGAAATGTGCACGATTGATTGAAAGTTAGGTTGATCACTCTGACCTGACAGCTCAGAATGTAAATTGAATGCCAGAAGTGGCCTTACCAGGAGGATAGTGCGTGAGTAGTTGCTTTATTTTCTTTTATGTAACAATCAAGAGGCAGAAATGAAATATAATATTCCTAGGTATGTTGTTATTAGTGTATAATCACCTAAACAAAGGAATCGTGTTTTCGTTACCTTACAATGAGCCATTTTTATCTACAGAGGGAGCGGGTCACCTTCTGTGGAGTCTGTCACTATATCTTATACAGGGGTCCTCTAAATTGTATATCTTTATAAGAAATCCCCCATTCTACATCTTTGTCACTGTTGTCACAAAATTGTTATAATACAATTATTCATTGTTCATATGAAATTGCAGTAATGTAATTTTATAAACATTCTGGAACAATGTTCAAATTTGCCTAGAAACCCTTTTAAATGTTACAGGGATCAGGCATCAGCCAGGTGTGACATGACCAGATGTGACTGAAGAGGTTATGTGTAGTTAGAGCACTGGTATTGGATCAGTACTCAGCCAACAGAGTTTAACTTCTTGTATCGGGAGAGAAAAAGAGAGTTTTGCTACTTGACTCTGTCTCGGGTAAGCCTTTTCTCCACTCCTCATTGACTCACCCAGTTGTAAAGCTGAGTCAAGGCCACAGGCGGTGACTTATCATATTCACCTCTACATCACTGCATAATAGAGCTGTGATGTGAGGTCAAAAGGTCAACACGGGCAGGTCGCTGGCAGTCCCTTCTGCAGCAGTAACACCTGAGAGCTTGGTTAATGCTGTCAGGTAATTACATCCCCAAGGTTATTATAGATTGTGTGCAGGGGATACAGTGTGTGTAGAAGAAATACAGTGAGATGGTTCTGATATTGAGTAAAACGCTGTTGTTGTTGATGTGCTTTTGGGCGATAATCTTGTCATTTTTTACTTCAACTCATTACTGTTTCATGGAGGTGTCATAAAGCCTCTTGGAACTTAAACATGATCCTGCCTGTACATACAATTACACTATTCTAAGAAGAAAGTGAAGTAGATAAGATAATAGACACCATTTTGTAATTTGTAATGCTGTGGTGGTATATCCTTGGATACACAGCTATAAGTGGTATCTGTAGAGTTGCTGCTGTCAGCCTGGATTGTATTCTCCCAGGCTGTAGGCAAGGCCTTGGGGATGAAGGGAATCACACTTATTCCTGGTGAACTTAACCTGCAAGACTTATTTAAGTGAAAACTGAAAGGCAGCAATCCACTTCTATCCTAATTTCCTTGCTGAAAGATCTAAGATTCCACATTTTTTACGTTTGCTGGCTTCACACCCAAAGCTTCAGGGATATGTAACTTTAGCAAGTTCATCCCAGCTGGCCGCAAAAGGAGAAGCATGCTCTTGACAGGGCGTGAAGACGCATTGTCAGTGTTTTAAAGTAGATGGAGTGTCTCCATGCCTACAATCTGGAATTGTGCCTATGTAGGAATACGATAGCTGTGTGGCTCAACCAGTGAAGTATACTTATTTTGTGCACTATGAGTTTTGCACTTTTATCTAAAGTCGTCATCTGAAAAACACCTGTGGGGGTTAGCATACCTTTCTGCAGTGCACAGACTGTAGAGATCAATAATTGCGATGACTCAATAATGTGGCTGGTAAAAACGTTAACTTTTTCATCTACAGCCACTTTGGCCTGTATAGCTTAAGGGTTAATTTCATCTCTCTATATTGGCCAACATTGGCAAGCAAGTGCAATTTGAGTGCAAAGACTGAGTGAACGGTGACTGAACACGTTATGTGTGGCCGCAACATTTTTGATATGTAGAGAAATGCGAGATCTTTACATGTTGAGCAATTCTAAACAAACCGAGTACTGGATAAATGCATTAATACCGTCTACCATCTACGAGTGTTTGGGTCCAAAGTAAACTTTGCTCAGACTTTTGCAGCGCTGCTTGTCTCTGGTGGTTTCTTAAGCATAGGTTTATGGTTCTTGCATTGCATAGCACACACAAAGAGCCAGTCACCAGTGGATGTAATTGCAGGGGCCTATGTGTTGCAGTTGCCCGTCGGGTTCTGTTTGTGTGTGGTCGAGCATCGGCTGTAGATTTTGCGGCGTGTCCATCACTGCTGGATCTATTAGCAGCTGTTCCAGCACGCTGGATCGACATCAGAGGCAGTCAGTGGGAGGGAGAGTT